AAAATTCGGAATTTTCAAAATGCTAAGGCTCTGCCAATTTTCAGTTTAAGAAAAAACCAGCTGATAAGTTTTGAAGCCGAGTCATGAACAATAAAACTTTTCGGTTAAATTTTTTAAAATGATATAAATTTTTTTTTGTTTTAGTATTTTGAAGTTACTATAAGCAATTAATGATTATAGATAATCTGCACCGTATACAAATATATCAAATTAAAATTGTTGATAATGTGCAAGAATAACTTGAATAAATATATTAAGTATGAAACTATATCAATAACAATACTTTTAAGATTTATTATAAGTTTAGTTAATCTAAAAAAATCAATCATTTATTCAATTAAAAAAACTTTTTTTTTGGCGCAAACCTTTTTTTGTTGAATGATGACTATTTTAATCTAACTTGTCCAGAATTACGTACGGGATCTCTTGTACATGGCCAATCATTTACAATACTATTTAGAAGCAAAAACTACACTCTATGGAATTGGGATTGTAATTATTTTTGATTAATATTTATCTATAATTTTTCCCCGTTTTTATAAAAAAATTGATATTTATTATTAGTAATGCTAATAAAACCAGGAGAATTTATAGACTTGATAACTATCGAATATTTATACCTGACATACAAATGGAAACATTAGTTGTTGAACATAGCAACCCTTACAATTGAAAATTATTTGTTATACGATTGTAAAAAGGGGATGCTATCTTTCGAGACTTTACAGTAATGAAGATTTAAAGGAAAAAGACTAATGATCGCAATTCTTTTACACGATCAATTTACAGAAACTTACAACATACTAAATAAAGAAGAGAAGGGACATTTGATCAAAGATTCGATATTGTAAGTAATAATTAATACATTATATATTAAAGCCAACCTAACTAAATAAATAGAATTGAAGATAACAGTATATGTTATGCAAATTCTTTCTCCAGAATTTTATATATTTGAAGAAATCTTTGAATAACTTTACCATCATCTATTAGTAACTAAGTTTCTGGTCAAATCACCTCTTTTAGTAGCCGAAATTTGCAAACACTTTGGGAAAAAGTTAATTTTTTATAGACTATTTTTTAAAATTATTTAAATTAAAATAAGTTGATTTACATAGTTTTTCATGTACATTCTTATGAAAAGTATTAAGAAGCCCATACTATTGTCAAAACTACTTTTTTTTTAAAAAATAGTTTGGACCAGAAACCTTATTGATAACTTTGGTAGACGACGTTTCAAGATTAATAATCCTATGTGTAAGTTCATTTTTGTACGTATATTATTGATATTTATTAATATTAAAATTTTGAATAGAAATTGCTAGATGATAATTATGAAGCAACCATTGCACAACAACACCATCAAGAGGTACAAGATGGGTTGTCGAAGTTAAAAGTCCATATCATTGAAAAAATAAACATCATATTACAAAGCAAAGCTTGGTTTTTTTCTTGAACCTTCTTTTTGTTTTCCAATAGCGCTAATTAGAACTTAAGCCTGTTTTTTTTGATTTACTGGTTTCTTCCACTCTAGTATATATTTATTTATCTGCGCGTGGTTCTTTTTTTTAACTTCGAAGACAACCATAAGGACAAGGATAGGGGCAGTTTGTTATTTATTAAATGATGGTGTTAATGATGCTACAATGTTTTAATGATACATGAAGTTAAGAAAATTACAACGTTATTTATACATGTCAAAGGTTCAATCGTTCTCAGTGCACAAAAAAAGTTTTTGGAATGGAATTTTTATTTATTGTGCAACAAAAAAAAGTCAACAGTACATGAAAATTTATAGATATACTCTTTATTATTTGATAAACAAGTTTAATTAAAGCTATTTAGTAGCCTGTCTAACTACCATTTTTCTCAATTGCTTCATTTAATCGTGACGGCATACTACGAATTAAATTAACAAAAAAGTTTTGTCGCCCTTCCATTCTTTCTAAATTATTTCACGAACAACTGGTTTTTTTTTAATTAACACTTTATTGACTTGCTTTTTAACACGTCCCTCTGGATTGAGATCTGGGCTATTTGATGGCCAATTCAATTTTTTTGAATGGTGTTGTGAAGAAGTTTTTTAGTATTCCCAGCCATGTGCTCAGGGTCGTTATCTTGTTGGAAGATCCAACGGTTTTCCATGACATTATTTGCATTTTCAATGGATTTTCAATAAAAATCTTTTGATATAAGCACCATCCATAATATCAGTAAAAAGAAAAAACCAATTGGACTTTTTACAGAAAAGGCACTCTAGGCATGAATTTTGTATGGATGTTTCACCATATCCTTGTGTAGAGGTTGGCTACCAGGTTTATAAAATACTTTTTTAAGTATTTCAAATGTAGTTTCATCTGAAAAAATGACTTTGTTACAATTTTGTCTTTTGTATTTTATGGCAAATTCTATATGACATTGTTTGTGTTGGTTGGTAAAAAGAGGCACAGATTTTGAGACAGTGGAACAATATTACAGTCTATGAAGCTCGTTAAGTACTGCATGATTACTAATATTGAGATTAGAATGATGTTTATTTAAAAGATTTGAAAGTTCTACCCTATAAAAATTTAGTCAGAAAATGTATGTTTTTCCATAGATTTTCCGCATATTCTGTATGGAATATGTACAGAATTATACATCAAAAGAGCACCTTTCCGTACATATTTGCCCTGAAAAAGCACTGAAAATGTATGGAAAGTACATGGAAAATCCATGGAATTTTCGGAAAATGACCTGAAAAATTACATTCCGTACATTTTTCCTATCATCATTATAATTACTATTACTATTATATGCATTTTCTGTACATTTTCAGTACAAATATGTACTAGTACGGAAAAGTGCCCTTTTAATATTAATGTATAATTTCCTACAAAATGCACGGAAAATATATGGAAAGGCCATACATTTTTTGAAAAAATGTTTTATAGGGCTGGGTCTGTCAGAACGTTGTTTGGGGTCTAAATATATATTGTAGAAAGTGAGATAGAAATTGGTTCGTGCAAAGAGTACCATTCTCCCATAAAGTAGTTACGGTTTTTCAAGAATTAAAACTAAAATTTTTGAAAATCACGGCATATTTCAAAAGAAGTCGTATTAGTATTTATTTGAAACAACTTTTATTCCGAAATCATTTTTCGTGTACTGTAGTTCTCTAATTCTTAATTCTCTAATTAAATATATTCCTTAAACATAATTTTAACCTTCTATGTAGAACTCTTGATCAGTATTTTTTTGTACTAGTACAACTTTCCTAAAATAATTTCCGATTTTTCCGTAATCTATAAATTATTATTATAGTCTAAAGAAAAGATTTACTTGTAATATTATTAAAAAAAAAAAAAATAGTAAATTAAGAACAATAAAATGTGGTGCGACTTAATAAGAAGACCGCTGAGAACTGAAGCAGAATCGATCTTATATTTTCGACGCTTTATTATCATTTTATCATTATTGACATTGGTAGGTTCATTTACTGTGTTAACCATAAAGATGGTCAATGAACAGCCTGTTATCAGTACAACTCTTAAACCAAAGGACAATCCACAGGCTCCAGGTAAAAAAATATTTTTTGAAATTAAAGTATTAGTATTACAAAAGTCCGGCGACACATTTTCTAATACCAAAACTACAAATTGATGCAAGCTGTCCATTTGGCCTTTGGGCTAGATTTCAACATGTCTTGCGTGTTATATTACAATACCAATGGAAGTAAGTAGAGTTTTAACTAATTAATTGTTTGTTCTTATTTCATATTACCCATGAATATTAATATATGACTCAAAATATTCAAAAGCAAAAATAGACAGTTGTGAACAATACATTACCCAAACGAAAAAGACTGATGATGTCAATTTTCCTTTCATTGGCTCATTCTCACCAAATGGTAGCATAAATTTGTCCAAACACGATGATGATGAAAAAGGGCTACCAAGATATATTTTTATTTACATGAGTATCATAGACCCGGCTAATATTGTCCTGAACGATACCTCCCAGACAGCTACAGTTAGAATGACTGTATATGATTCAGGTAAGTTCTTCGTAAAGTTAATGGATAAATTTGTTTATATTTATAATAATACGGCAATGGATAAATAGAAAATGAACAGGACGATGCTCAAAGTAGAGAATCTCCCGATGCATTCACTGGTAAGAAAAAGCAAATTTATTTAACTGAAACTGCGCATTTTACAAATTTAATTTTTTACCTGTGATTTATAGCATCACTTTTCTGCATGAATAAATATGCTTTATTGAAAAATTATGTATGTGTTATTGAGATCGTATTTTAGAAAGAGGATGAATTTTCAAATTGTTAGAAAATTATTATCAAAAAATCAATAGATATACAGGCTGGGATTCTCAAGAAAGATCAGAAAAACACAGATTCAAACGGCTTTCACTTATATTGGATTCTCGTCATCCTACAATCTACAATCTTACATTGAATCAAATATACGTAAGAATATTTGTTTTAAAAACCATAGTGTGCATCTTAACCTGTTTAAATGCTGATGTTATTTGTATTATTGATTAATAACCACAGAGGCTATTCCTATAAACTCTCCCAGTATGTATTATGTGACTGTAAGAATCGGCCCACAGAACTTCTACGAAACTGTAGAACAAGAACAGAGGTAAAAATTATCCATGATTTGATTTTGATGATTTAAAACAATCAATTATTACACCTTGAGTTGAATCCATTTTGCAGATGTTTTATTAACACAATTTTACAAATAATAATAATAGAACCACTACTGTGAGCAATAATAACAATAATATTTCTGAGGTTTCATCATTTTTTTTATTTTTTTGAAAATAATATAGTCCATCATTTGGATATTTAGATTATGAACATACTGGGAACTATTGCTGCCTATTACAGTTCCGTTGTGTTTGTATATGTATTTTTGTTCGGCAAGTTGACTTTTTTTTTGGGTTAAATTATATACTATATATAATTTTCTCAATTTTATTTCAAAAAATTTCTAGGGGTTGATTCAATGAAACCCTGGGGTATTATACATAATGGATGTTGCGGCATCAGAAAATTCAAAAAGCATACCGTAATAAAACTAGAAGAGTTTGTGAATGTTCCTAGCACAAATGCTAATTTAGAAATAATCTCACAAGCAGTCAGGGATTTGGAAGGATTTAGGCATTTCCTTGAAAGTAATGTAATTGACACTTCCTTGTTAGAAGCCCTTAGAAGTCAGCAACAACAGCAAAGTCAAGAGCAACAACAGCAACGGGTAGAAATTGAAACCCAACAAAATGACAAGTCATAATAGATGAATTCTTGCATTTAATACTAAAAATTATATGTACATTATCTATGAATGCATGATTATTAAATTTAACAATATTTTTTATCCAAAATGATTTCTTTGATTCTTTAATTCTTCGATAATTATATAATTGTCATCTTATTATGTGTCTGCATAATCACAATTTTATTCTTAAATATCAGACCTGATATGCTTTGATTACTTTTATTCAAAGCACAAAACTTTGCCTAACAAACTGAAAATGCTAGTTCTGGTTCATTGAGAACGTTGGTGCAGAATCATGTGTTCTGCTCCTATTGCGTGTTATAACGAAAAAAATTATTTTTGAAATAATTAATTTTTCATATTTTAAATCTTTTGAGCTGAATTCATTATGTGAACTGAACAAAGTATATTAATTATTGTTCCAGATAATATATAATGCACCAAATTACTGCATTTTGAAAGAATTCGAATGGTAGTTGTTTTTATTCAAAACAGCCAGATATTGACTGAGTTATGGTAATTTCAGTTAATTTGATATTAATAGCAATAAAAAATTATTTTCCAGAAAAATTCCGTAATAATCATTCCAAGTAATAGCAATATCCATTATTATTATTAAAACTACATCTATCCGTTTATCAAAACTCTATTACTCTCTATAATAAATTACAATATAAATTTAAAAAAACTTAAAGGTAGGAAGGTGGGAGAATTATGTGGCAAATTATTTAATGTTAATTTCATTGATCTATCATTTTTTATCATAACAAAACAAATTCTTTTTATTTTGTAGCCAACATGACTTTTTAATATTATAACTGTCTTCTAAGTAAGTAACAAACATGCTCATTATTTATAATCCTTGATGCTCCTGTATTTTCTGTATTGTTAATATGGGTCAATTATTTAATGGCTAATATCTTTTCACTATTTGACTACACGTGTTGCCATATGATGCGCGGTTGACAATGCATGATACTCAACCAAGTTAAACGAATAATTTCCCAACTAATGATTTTTCAGGAAAGGATATGTATTTTTTCTAAATATGCCTACCCTATTAAAATATCCTGTGATTTGTGAAAAATACACAATTATTATTATTATTATAGATATAATAAATGATATAACAACAATTGGAAATCAACAACATTTATGCAAATAATATGCATGAACCATCAACACATTATATTATAAAAATTATTTTATTATCTAATTACTCTAATTATTCTAATTATTATTTATTAATAATGATGATAATTTAATTTTTCCATAAATCTTGTTTTAAAGGTAATTTTTTACTTTGCTCAATTGTATCTAATGATAATTTCATAATTTGGTTGTGAATTTCTGATATTGATTTATTTGCATCTAAAATCTACAAATATTAGAAAGTAAATTGATAAATAAATGCATTTCCCATCAATCAATACATTCCACTTATTTGATTTCTCACCTTCCAAAATCTAGGATCTTCTAATTTTAAAAAATTATCTTTTACTTTTTGCTGAAACTCCAATTTCTCATATCTTTCATCGCCAAAACCTTTTCTTTTCAATAATTCTTCAGAAGGCATATTCATAAAAATCACCATATCTGGTGTTAATAATCCTATATCAGATGATTTACACCAATTAAAATCCAAACCCTAATAAATGTATATACTGTATTTTAATAATTAATTTTTTTTTAGAACAAATCAATATATCATATCTTTATCAATAACAATACTTTTGCAGTAGAATATACGACACCAGAAAATACATAGCGATCAACTATTAAAGTTGTACCATCAAGAAGGTAATTTTTCATTGCTGAACTAAAATATTAAAAAATAATAATATATGAATATATATATTTATAAATGTTTATATGTTAATTTATAATATATTTACATGCGTTCCCATCTATTAGCAGAAAATAATAAATGAACTGCACTATCATCCAAATCTTCTTCATTTTTTAAATATGAATTAATCAATTGTCCAATCAAGGTTGATCTATCTATTATCATTATCATAGTTATCATTATTAAATTAATCTATAAACATTTTAATATTATTTATTAAAATTACCAGGAAAACGCATCAATTTAACATTAACTCCATCATTTTTTAAATGGTCATAAAGTCTTTTTGCTTGCGTTGATTTTCCTGAGCCATCACAGCCTTCAAGAACAATAAGTGCTCCACGGTTTTTATTAGAATTTTCAATAGTATTATTCAAAATGTTTAAAGGCATTTTTTTTTTTATAAACAAAGATGATTTTAGGGGGTGTTACACAGTGAGTCTCGATTTAACGGATATTTTTTTCCAGAAAATTTATCCGTTAAATCGAGAGATCCGCTAAATCGA